CAGTCATTCTGAGGAGAGATGAGTGGGGACACTCGGCCTGGGAATCAGAATTTCCCAACAGTTGTTCCTAGGAGCAACTCCCCTAAGATGCTTTGAGGGGGAAAAAAGAAAAAGTTTTTCAGTGCAGGGCTTTGAACTTGCGAAGTCTGTGCTATAACACTGAGCCACCCCCTTCAGACTGGAATATAATGAATTCCATAAGGAACTCTATTTAATCTCTCACTGTTCCATTATACAACCAAAATAATACATCCTTTAAAGACCCCATGAAATCTCATCCCAGATAAACCTCTTACTCTCACTAGCACAGAGTCTCCCCAAATTGGATGACAGTGGAAACATAGTTACTTTGAAAAACACTTCTGTGAAAAACTAGAGTGTTTGGGAATGTTGTAGAAAACACATCTGTGTTGTCTAGAGAAGCTGTGCTCTGAAGAAGTCTATTTGATGGCCTTCTGTTTGGTCAGGTGACCTTCAAGCAGCCCTCTTCACAAACTCAGCCACTTCTGGCCACTGGCACCCCTTCCCAGGGCTACTGAGGTGATGACATGGTTTGCTTCTCACCCTGTCCAGAGGATTTACTCACCCACATTTACACCAAGTATCAATCAGATTATGGCCAAGCCAGTGCTAAAATATTCCATTTCCCTTAGAACAAAGTCTGCCTTTTCCATTGGCTTAGTACTCTGTCTGACTTCTGCCCTCAACATCCAGCCCTGTGGCTCTTCCCTCAGTCTCAGACTGAGAACAACCTGCTGCCTCCATGGAGACCATTCCTGGCTTTTCTTCCCTGGCAGCAACCCCAGCTGGAGGAAAGGGAAGGCCATACACATTCTTTCTTTGCCTCTGGCCCACAATGCACTGAAAACACTCTTCTGGAGAGTTCTAGTCTGGGCTCCATCTACCCTGATCTGCTCTCTCCAGCCTTCCTGCTAGCCTCATTGTCTTCCTTGTCTCTGTTCTGCTTCCAGGCACCAGCCAGAGGTACTCTGGAGGCCACCAGGCTTTTCTCTAGGGGTGTGTGTGTGTGTGTGTGTGTGTGTGTTCAGAATTGTCCATAGGATCAGATAACAACTGACAAGGAGCTCACCCTGGCCTGGGGTCCTGCAAATAGTCATGGGTGTGATAAAAGGGGGGCTCCAGGCAGGAGTAAGAGGATCCTCGTGGCTCCCTCCTCAGGATATTGTGAAAGGGCCGCTTTTTGTAAGATTGCTGGGCAGAGGCCAGAAGACCACTACGCTACCTGGGCCCCAGAGACCCAAGCACATGCACAGATCGCTGCTATAGTTTCACCTTGCCAGAGTGTAACACGATCACTGTTCCCTCACAAACCTCCAAGCATCCCGGGTGGTGAGAGTCTCTTAAATGGGGCTCTCATATCAGGAATTCCTGGCAACCCCGTGCCTCCTTCCACCTGGCTGTTCATCCTTCCGAAGGGAGAAAGACACGTCCTGGCAGGCAGCCATACTTAGAGGTGTCCTTGGTAGGTAGCTACTCATGGCCATCTTACTTGGGCACAGCCAGTACTGACTGGGAGATCTGATCACAGTATCTCTCTTTGTTTTACTTCCATCTAGTCATGTGACTAGAGCCCCCCCCCCTTTTTTTAACCCAGAAAGAGAGCAGACTATAGCCTCTGCTGCCCTCTAGTGGCTAAATCATGACCCCTGCACTTCCTCCTGCGGAACCCCACCATTGCCTAGAGAGATGTTTGCAGGGCCCGTGGTAACAAGTATAGATCTGTTCCTGCTGCTTATCTTGGTTAAGTTTCAAAATCTCCAGTTACCAGATTGAGTATCTTTCCTTGTCTCTCTCAGGAAACTCTAGGTGGCTGAGGAATTCACCTCAGAAATGTAATCAAAGAGCCAGTTAGGATCTCCAGTCTACCTCCAGACATAATCATATTGATAACTCAGGAGGACTGAGACACAGCTCTGTTTTAAGTATCAAGACAAATGAAAGCCAAAATGAGCAGATCATAACGGTTCCAAGTCTTATGAGATTATGAGTAGATTATTTATTCACCAAATAGCATCTCAATCTTCATTTGAATATCTCTGACTTCATTAGAAAACAAGGCAGGTTGCATTTATTAGGGGGTGAGATAAATACACGGTGCAGGTTGAGACATAGGGAATACATACATGTATACATGTGTGTATAGATGCATGCATGTGTATCAAGGACAGAAGACAACCTCAATGTCATTCTTCATGTGTTGGTTGCCTTTTTTTCTTTTGAGGCAATGTCTCCAACTAGTCTGACCAAGCAGAATGGAGCTTCCTGCCTCTGTCCCCTTCCTCTGCTGCTGGGATTACAAGTGCAAGTCACCATGCTTGATTGTATGTATGTATGTATGTATGTATGTATGTATGTATGTATTCTTAGAATTGCACCTAAGTCTTCATGCTTACTAACACTTTACCAATTTAGCTAATTCCCCTTCACCCCCTCAGCCTAGGAACATTTTAAAATGACACCCAGAGCTCCACATTTTATGGCCATGCCCTCCTCCTATACAACCAAGTGCTGCCAGGGACCAGCCTTCAGAAGTCACAACTCTTGCCTTTCCATCCCCAGGCTTCCCACCGCCACGCTTGCTCAGAATAGAGAGAGTGTGTTTAATGGGCCCCTTATTCACCCACCTCCTCCCTTGTACTCTGAGAGTCTGATGCTCTCCTCTTTCTTTCTTTCGCTGTGAACATGTTTTATCCTATCTGCAGAGCATTTTCGAGCTTGAACCCTTTCCCAGTCGGCTGCCATTGTTCTTACTCCATTTCCAGCTTTGGGCTTTGAGCGGGAAATTTCTTCAATCAAAACCTGCTTTCTAGCATTTTCCATCTACCCCTGCACATCAAGGGTGCTTAAATGGCCCCCACCCCCTGCACCCTCCTTTATTCAGAGAATACTGCTGACCCTCCCCTTCTTTCCCCTTCCCTAGATCACTGCTGGCTCTGACCCTGTTCCAGAGGTGGGGGAGCCTGTGAGTCTAGGTGGTGGGCATGGTCATCACAGTTCACTCTAAGAATAAGGATTTGTAAGGAAGCCCAAACACCCCTCATCCTCTGAGAGGCTTCCTATTTACCGATTTTTTTTTTTTTTTCAAATCGAGCTTCTAAAATACAGTTCTTCTTAACTGTGTAACTTTTCTTTAAACTTCTAAAGAAAACTTTAAAGCCAGGACAAGATGATCTAGCATCCTTTCAAAGCTCTCAAACACTACAGAATTCCCTTCGCATTTCTCCTTGGGTGGGAAAGGAGTCATAAGTAACACTTTACAGGCAACATTTTTGCCCTTGGCTCCATCTATCCTCTCTTTTAATGGGCCTTGGGCAGCTGTCCCAGGCTAGAAAAGTAACATAAAAGCTGAGAACAAAACTGAGGGCTTGGGTTTCTTTTTAAGTTAGGAGGGGCAGTGCCATTTGGAGCGTTCTCATTCCTGGAAGCTGGTGACGTCCTTCAAAAGATGTTGTAAATACCAGGCTCTTGTGTTCATTTGGGTTTGAGGACTCCTTGAGCAGCTTTGGTTTAGTAGAAGGTTGTTCTAAGTCAGTGGTTCTCAACCTGTGTCGTATATCAGATAGCTTGCATATCAGATATTTACATTATGATTCATAATGGTGGCAAACTTACAGTTATGAATCAGCAACAAAAGTATCTTTTTGCTTGGGGAGCTGTCACCACAACATGAGGGACTGTATCAAAGGGTCCCAGCTTAGGAAGGTTGAGAACCACTGGACTAAGTGATGTGACAGAATTTTGTGTGTCCTGGCATCAGGCTGAGGTGAGAAGGAGAAGGGAGACCCCTTGAGTTCACATCCGGTGCAGGGTCTGGAGGTACATTAGTGGGGTGGGGGGGATACTCATCAAACAACAGTGACCCCAGGATGACCGGCAGCCCAGCCAAGTCTGACTGAAACAGTTTGTCTTGTTCTGCAGATAACACTGAGTCTTAGAGAAGAGTCTATTTGGGAAACTGCCCTGACAACCAGAGACCTTCATGAATAGGGAACCACAGGCTACAGGAACATTTGCCCCTGGCAGATGCTAAAGCGAATGGCTTTTAAGGACATCAGGTATAAAATGGCACAAACAGACGGAAACTGAGCCTATTCAGCCATCCCACCCATCAGACAGAGACATATGGTGCCATGACCAGGAGAAACAGAGGTACTTGGCCTGGCCCAGATTCAGACCAAGTGTCTCAAAAGCTCCTGTCTTCCCCACGACATCACACATGTACGTGCATGTTCTCTTTCTCTCTGTCTCTCTTGTCTCTCTGTCTCTCTCTCTCTCTCTTTCTCTCTCTCTCTCTCACACACACACACACACAGAGAGAATGCATTTAAAAATATTTTTAAAGAACTCACAAATAGCTCTTCATAGGGGCCCAGGTGAAGCAGCAAAATGGGACAATTTGTTAAGAACCTATTTGATGAACACAGTACCACCTGAGTGAGAAACTGAGCAAACCAGAATCCTCACACTCAACTAGGGAAACAAAACCAACAGCAGCAATGAGAAGCACCCATTCTCAGATATTTGAATGGTCCTGAGCCCCTGTAATAATCTCTCGTCCCTGTGAGCCACCAGAAGGAGATTTTTGGTAGGGAAAATGTACTAAAAATATCCATGGAAAACATATTGTGCTCAACTGCAGAAACCAAAACAACAGAAACTTTCAGTAGAGATGATGATAATTGAAAGACATCCCAAGGATGCCAGAATACTTTCTCACCATGACACTCCTATGAGTGGTTCATCTGGAAAGGTGCTTGCAAACATTCTTGTTTGCTTCAAAGTTAGGAAGCAACTGTGTTTCCCTCTGGGAGCAAAGTCCTTAAATATTTTATGCAAGGAAAAGAAATGAATTGAATCCTTTCCCAACACCATTTGTCATCCACAGTAAAGACAAGAAATCCACTCTGTCCACATTAGCTAAGCAGTGTTTGCTGGAAGCCCCGTGTGAAATGACACCTCTTCCATTTTTTCCAACTCACCCTTTAGCTAGTGTTGCTATGCCAACATCGGTTAACTTCATTCCCACACCTGCAGAGGGAGAGAGCAAAGACAGAGTTTGAGTTGCTAGGGGAAGGCACAAAAAGGACTGGTCAGGGACTCTCACAGGCCGGAGAGGACAGCTTATCGCCTTCCTGGGTCCGTGTGTACTTTTCCCCTTGGATACTCAGTCCTTTTGATCTGCACCTGCTGTGGGGGGTAATGATGGGGAGGGCAGACCTGGGATTCAGACAGCGGTACCCAAGGCAGGCCTTCTTCAGGCTTATCCTGGCCCCAGAATGGAGGAAGATGCTCTCTAATGAACTTGAGACTTGACACTTTCCCCACGAGCTTCCTCCCAAGCAATGATGTTTCTTGGACTTAGTTCTGGTCCACTGTTCCTCACTGAAAGTGGAGACCATTAAGTAGAAGGAAGCATAGGCATGGTCTGCCTTGGTCAATAGCAATAATAAACAAGTTCAAGGCAACAGGTTCAAAGGCAAACTCCACATACATAATTTCTCATTTCCATTAAGATAGTTTCTTATCATTGGCTGGAGAATTTCTGTTTCCTAGGAAATATGCACAAGTTATAAGTAGACTTTTAGCCATTTGTCTGGGGACAGTAACATTTAGAATCCATTGTCCAGCCATTTAAGACTTTTAATAACTTCATTCATGAAACTACGGTAGTAATGGAAAATACCAAACCCCAACAGTAAAATGGATAGTGACAATCCAAGTCTAGCTCAGCAAAAAGCCACTGACATCCTTGTTGGAAACCCAGGCAACCAGAACCCCTTTAGCCACTGCGCTCCCAGGAAGGGCAGCTGAAAAGTAGCTAGGGAGCCAGAGGTGCAAGGAAAATAAACAGCCTGCTATCTTCTAGCACGAAGAAGGTGAGCATCCTACTACGGTAAAGGACTGCCCACTTTCCATCTGCCCCAGCTGTCAGCCAGTGTCCTTAGCATCTCTCAGGCTAGCAATTAGGAAGAGCATCAGTGCTCATGCCCAGAGTGTAGAGGTCCTGGGTCTTTCTAGGAGCTTCTTGCTCTACCCAGGTACTCTTTCTGCTTCTGACTTGTAGGGTGGTAGCTCTGGACACTTGCCCTACCTCAGTGCACCCTGCCTGTACAATCCAGTGGAGACCTGTTGAACACTCTGGCCCTATAAGAGCTGTACTGTGAGCAGTGATATCCCTGCCACCACGCAGATAACTTGGCCATGGAGCAGCCAGGTAGGTGACAAATCAGTGTGGCCTGTGAAAGAAAGCCACAGGTTTCTCTCTGAAGCCAACAACCCTGGGATAGGATGACAACCTGGTCCCATGGCTCTCCATCCCAGAGGCTCAGGGAAGGCAAGCTGAAGGCAGAATACTCTGGTTCATCAGTGTCCACCAAGAGCAAGGCAAAAATGCCACCTTGTTGCTATTCGGACTGGTGAGTCACCTGGTAGCCATAGCCCAGCTTTTGTGTGTGCACCTGAGAGCTAAATGTAGCACTTTGGAGAACCCAGTGAACATTTTAAAGGCTGAGTCATCTCACTCCTCCAAAGCTACTAACAACTTGAACACAGGAGAGCCTGCTTCATATTCCTTTATTGTAGGAAGCACAATAATTTTTAAAAGATGCCTAATTGCAAAGGTCCCTTTGGACATCTTTTTCTGTGTAAAGTCCTGTCTAAACAGGACAGTTCTAGGTTCCAGTAAGGTTCAATGTTTAAAAGTCATTTGGCAACAGGTGCTTGAACTTGGGCAGTATCCTCCCTTGCTCTCACGGTGGGCAGCTGCCATTTTTGGTTTAGAAAAGTAGGATGCTAAGGTCAGGGGAGACGGTTCAGTGTGCGAGCATGAGAACAGACCAGAGTTCCCAGAAGTCACCTAGGAGCTGGATAGTGTGTGTGTGTGTGTGTGTGTGTGTGTGTGTGTGTGTGTGTGTGTGTGTGTGTGTGTGTGTGGTCTCTGAGTGCCTCTGGGAAATAGGAGGCAGAGATGGAGAATTTCCCAAAAGCCTAGCTTACTTGGTTTAATTATTTGTCAGCAATGCAACTAAGTTTTTCAACAATCACTGGAGGGCAATACTTTCAATTTGATGTGTGTCTGTCCAACTGAGGTGAGGCTGATAGCAGCCTATGGGTTGTTTCTAACAAGAGGAGGGGCAGGAGTATAGTCTCAGAATCTGAGTTTGTGGGCCTCTTGGGGGTGGCTCCTTAGAAAGTCTCAGGTCTCAGGTCTTAATTCCAAGTCACAGACCCATCTCTAACCCCATCAAGCTTCTATCAACAAACAAATGCACTCAGGGAAGGTGACATTGGGTTTTGCATTGGGTTTTGTTTCTTTTATTTTTAATTGTGGTGTGTACAAAGCTGAGACCTTGCTTAGAGAATGTGTGAGCTGGTCCCACAATGATGATAGCAATGAAGGGATTTTTCCAAGCAGCAGACAGTAAATAAACCCTGTTATGAAGCATGGTGCCAACACATTTAAGCACAAACATCATTTGCGGAGAGATGTAATATTCCATTGCAGTTGTTGACTAGTGCCTGGAAGCAAAACTAGCTGTGTGTGAAGCTCCAGGGTGCTGTTTTTCAGCAGACAAAATATGTTTAATACAAAATTAACTCCAAAGGTGACAACTCGGGGAGAACAATTGTACAGCCAGAATCTGAATAGAACAAATAGCTGTCTGTTCAGAGAGAGGGTGTGTGTGTGTGTGTGTGTGTGTGTGTGTGTGTGTGTGTGTGTGTGTGTATGCAAGTTTACATGTGTGTGAAGTCATTCTTGGGAGGGGACAGACTCACAGGAATCCCTCAGAGCCCTGTAGAAGATATTCACACATCAGAACCTTTTAACATCATAGGATACTTGAAAAGCCTGGAAAGTAAATCCACTGCAAATTTGTTAGTTTGATGTCCTGTGCAGAGAGCATAATATCCAGAATCTGAAAATGTAGGTTAGGGTCCTGGACGCCTCTATGATTATTAGCTGCTTGGGAGAGGCTAAACCACGGCTCTCACTCCAAGCTTTTTCATCTGTAAAATGGGAGCATAATATATTCTACTCAAGATTTTCATGGAGAATAAATAAAAATCATAGAAAAATGAATGCATGCAGAAGCTGGAGAAATCTAGTCACTGTAGTCTAGCTCTGCTATCAGTGTTCACTTTCTGGTTTGATGATGTGCAATAGTTACGTGAGCTGTGATCATTAAGCAAAGCTCCACACAGGGTATGTGGGCACTTCTCTACATTTTTTCATGGTCTATCTGTCTTTATGTGTCTCTTTATCTGTGTATCTCTGTTTGCCTGTGTGTGTGTGTGTGTCTATCTGTCTGTCTCTCTATGTGTCTCTCACTCTGTGTCTGTCTCTGTCTCTCTCTCCCATGATGGATGGTTTTAATGTCAACTTGCCATTAGAGTCACTTGAATAGGGACCCCTAACTGAAGGACTGGCCTGATTGCCTTAACTGATGTGGGGAGACCCACCAGGACCATGGGCCGTACCTTCTGCTATCAGCTGGCATAAAGGGGGAGACAGCAGCATCATCTGCCTTTATGCTCCTTGACCTTCCCTCTTGCAGCCAAGTCGATTCACCCTGTCACGGTCACTGCCGCTGCTGCTGCTGCTTCCCTCCTTGAGAGCAGAACCAGTGTTTCCAGGCTTTCTGAGTGGACTGAAGGCCAGTGGCCCTCCAGGAACTGTCCAGGGTTTTGGCAACAGACAGGGACTGCACCGGCACTGGGCCCTGTGGACCCAGCACCACTATAGGTTGTTGGCCTCTCCAGTGTGAGCCAGACACTGTGGGATCATTCCGAATGCTGAGCACCCAGTCTCAAGCTCTGAGGAACCACTGGGCTTTCGGGTATGAGACAACCGTTGTACTACTTCAACACAGGTGGTTTAATAAATTCTATTATATATATATATTAGACCATGTAGAGAACACTGACTAATACAGGATCTCTAGCCCAGGCTGATTTTGACTGATCCTCCTGCCTATACCTCTAAGCACTAGGATTACAGGTATGTGCCACCATGCCCGACTTATATTTTTATAAGTTTTTATGAGTCTATTATTTCAGAATGAGGAGTTTTTAAAAACAGGGAATATTTTATGACTCAGCAATGCAAAGCATTTTACCATCTAATTTAATCCTCAAAACAACTGTATATGGAAAACTCCAAAGCTTGGAGAGATGCATCATTAGTCCAAAGGCTGAAAGCTAAGAAGTGACAGTGTTGGGAATGAAATCCTGGAGGCCACCACTACAGTTTAGTGCCCTTGTATGAGACACTGTCTTATAGTCATCAAATGGCATAGTTCAGATTTTTCTAAGCAGTATTATTATTTGGAAATAAAAAGGAACAAGGAAGGATGTATCCCTGGTACACGAAAGGACTTTGGGAGCACATTCCCCAAGGAGGGATACTCCCTTAGCCTAGAGACAGGAGTGAGGGCCTAGACCCTACTCCAAATGACTTGACAGATTTTGATGATCCCTCCTGGAAAGCATCACCCTCCCTGTGGAGTAGGGGGGGGAATGGAATGGGACAGAGGGCCTGGGAGGGTGGAAGAGAGGGAACTGGGATCGATATGTATGAATATTAGAACATATTTACATTTTTTAAAAAAGGAACAAGGAAATGTGTAGACAGAAGCTGTAGGTGGTTAACCATTATCCTTTCTGCCTGGTTCTACCTGTGGGTACCACCTTGCCTAAAAACTTTGCCTAAAAAATGCAGCAAGAGTTAAATGAAGGGAATCAATGCCCCAACCATGAGTAGCATTTGACTGGTACTAATGGGAGCTGTGGATAATCAATCATTCCTGCTCCCCCAATCCATGGACAGGGAATTCTGGGAGGTTTGCTCAGTGTAGGCTTCCAACAGAGTACAGTTGCCCACAGTAGTAACTGGATGTTTGTCCATGTGCAACTGACTGTCTGTGCTTCCTCTATCGTCTGCTGCTGTTTTCTGGGCTTCTTCCTCAAATGAACTATATGTGCTCAAGACAGTAGCTCTCTGGTCTCTCCTTTGCATCTTTGGGCTGTGTATCCTCAGATCCAACTTAAAAGAAGTGGGGACTGAAAATATTTGGAAGAAAGAGAACTGAAACTGTATTGAGCACACTACCCTCTTGGAGGACATTTGCATTGCATTTGGTGTTAGAAGTCATCTAGAGATGTTCAAAGTATGCAGAAGAATACGCAGAGGTTCTGTACAAACACGATGCCATGTTGTACAAGGGGCCTGAGCACCTAGAGAAGTGGGTATCCACAGAGATCCTGGAGTGGAACCCCCGAGGATAACGACATACTAGTCTCTGGTCTGTTCCAGAAATAAACCTGATTATGGCAGGTCTGCCTTCTATAAATTGTTGTAGTCCTTAAAATTTGTCTGCACAAACTTGTCTGCTCATGGAAAGCACACTGCAAATTCCTCAGGAGAGCCCAAGATCTAAAGGTTACAATGACACTTCATCTATCGGGAAATAAATAGAACATCTCAACTCACTCATGATGTACAGCTCACTCATGGTATACACGGACTTCCACATGTCCTGAATTTTGGGGTGTAACAATGAAGCCAGCCTCTACCTTTTATAGTGGGAGACATTGCTGGTAGTTATTTTATTACTTTATTTGGATGCTCATCCATTGCCATGCTTCATTTCCAATTGTACATGAGTAACAACTTGGGGAGAAGATGCTTGTTGGTACCCAGCGGACCTCTCCTCCTCTTCACTCCCCTCCTTTCCTTCTAACAACCCTTAGGAACACCCCAGAGCCCACAGCATCCCCAGAGCTGGGTGGTCCATTCTGCTCACCCTGCATGTCCGTGACCAGGAGACAGCCACTGGTTTTCTGGTACACCCAGTGCTGGAAGGTGCAGCACTTCTGACCAGCCTCCGAATCCCGTCTGAGGAAGTTAATCTCCTTCCCATCCCGGATGGAGTACTTCACGAATTCTCCAATCAGCTCCTCCTCCACTGTGGCGTAAGGGATGTTGTTCTCGGGCCGATGGATGAGGAAAATAGGGATGATTCTGTCAGGGAGGAGGGCATGGTCACATGGTACGTTCTCACATGGGGACACAAGTGTCTGGGCATTCCTGTCACCCGGAGCAGCAGGGCACTCAGTCGATCTAGGTTCTACTCACATTTTATTTTATGTTTTTGCAGTACCCTCAATTATTTAAGGAACCAGAAGACTCACACCTACTTTTGTTTCTAAAATTGTTTTTGAGACTCCTCATCATCATTACTTTTAATATCATTTTGTTTTGTTTTGTTTGAGACATTACCTTACTACACAGCCCTGGCTGGTCTGGAACATGTTATGTTAAATAGGCTGGCCTGCAACTCACAGATATTAGCTCTGTCCTGCCTTCCAGGTGCCGGGATCAAAAGCACAAACCACCATGTCAAGCTTTGGCTTGGCTTTAATTTTTTAAAACTTATTTTATGTGTGTGGATGTTTTACCTGCATGCATGTACATCACGTGTGCACATGGCACCCACAGAGGCCAGAAGAGGGTATCAGATGCCCTGGAACTGGCGTTGCAGATGGTTGTGAGCCACCATGGGTGAGCTGGGAATGGAACCCAGGTCCTCTGGAAGAGTAGTCAGTGCTCTTAGCTCTGAAGTTATTTATCCAGCCCCCTCCCCTTTTAAAACAAACAAACAAAAAAACAAACAAATAAGGTCTCACTAGGTAGCCAGGACAGCTTCAAACTCATTAGGTAATTCTAGCTCCTTCTGTCTCCACCTCCAGAGTGTTGAGATCACAGGCCTGAGACACAATGCCAGGCTCTACTATTTTATCTCAGTAATCCACTGGATCAGTAACTGTCACCCATCCACCCATCCATCCATCCACCCACACATCCATCCATCCATCCACCCACACATCCATCCATCCATCCCTTACCTATCCATCCTTCATTCAGTCAGCAAACACTAATCCTCAGTGGCCTCAGGGTGTTAACACTCTTTCACAAACACCAATAAAGAAAACAGAGGCCCTGCTGTTAAGTTTCAAACCTAAGGCAAGTGGAGGCCGAGATGCCTATTTAACACATCACAGAGAACCTGGCCCCCAGGTTCTCCTAGCATCCCGCAGTCCCTACCTCTTACAGGGTATGCTGGCGTCCTGCTCCCTATCCATCCACCAGGAACTGGGCTGCCCTTCTCCCCACCCATAGGCTCTTCCCTATATAATCCAGACATTTTGGCTGCCCCTCCCTTTTTTTGTACCTTTGACCTCCTGGCACCTGGTTTCCCTCTCTCCCTCCCTCTCCCCCTCTCCCCACATGGCCCAGCTCAGGGTCATGTCCACTCTGAACTCTCCTTGTTGTCCCTGTCTCTGCCTACACTCTCCTTTTTTATCTACAATAAACTTTCTCTTCAGCCATATCTAGGAGCAGTCATGTCCTTCCTTCCTTCCTTTCCTTCTTTCATTCATCTGCTCCACCCCCCCCCCCACCATGAAACTTACATTTAAATGGAGGTCACAGGCAGTGGCTAACTGCATGGTGCTAAATGTCAGGTGTACAGCAGTGTCACCAAGGAGACTGCACTGGGGTGGGGAAGGGGCTGTCATTTTATTAGGACTCAGGAGTCCCTGCTTATTAATAAAGGACATTTGAGTGGCACCTGCAGAAAGCTGGGGGCAGCCATGAGGGCGTGTGAGGAGAGGCCCTTCCAGGTGGGAGGGACACACGAAAGGCTCCTCCACCCTTTGCCTTTGTTCAGGGTGGCAGCCTTTGTGTCTTTTGAAAGAGGTGTCTAGGGACTGTCAGATGGGAGGGGCACGTTTGGAGCTGTGGCCCCACTGTGCATCCCTAAAAAAAAACCAGGCTGGTCATCAAGCTGCTGTCTGTCTATCACGCTTTGTCACATTCACAAGACCCGGGGAACCTTGTGAAGACTCTATATAGCCAATTACCTACCAAACAAAAGGACTCCCGGTTTGTCTGGCTTCTCATTAATCCTGTGGCCTTCAGGGAAGCAGAACAGAGTCTGGGCATTACTCACCATCTCAATTAGCCCAGTCTCTGCCCGACTGGAGTCATTTGCAAAGACAATGTGATGCCATTGATATTCATGAATTTGAAAACAAAACTGTGGGGAGTATGGAGTGTTTTGTCTTCAAGATCCCAAAAGCTCCCTAAAAAGAAAACTGCTTCAGGGGTCCATTTCTGGAAGTAAACACGGAGTGTGTGTATGTGTGTGTCTGTGTGTCTGTGTGCATGTGTGTCTGTGTGTGTGTTTGTATGTGTGTCTGTGTGTGTGTGCGTGTGTGTGTGTGTGTGTGTGTGTGTGTCTGTGTGTGTGTTGGGGATGGAGGGGTGGACTGTGGGTCCAGTGTCTCCAGATTCCAGAAATATGGGCTTTCCTGGAAGACTAGAAGTGAGTGGGACCAGCTTAGGGCACACATGTATGAATCCCCAATGTAGACTTCTCAGATTCAGGTTTGTTAATATCTGGCCTAGACATCCTTCAGAGGATGCTCACCCTTCTATATGCTATAATCACTCACATAGTCACAAATTCTCCTATTGTAAGGAGGGAGAAACAACTTTTGATAAGAAAATGTCCTCATCTGTCTCTAGGGTTGTGGTCTGTTTGGTGACCATAAACCCATCCTGATAGTCATTGTGAGTTCTTTTCCTTTTAAAGGGCCCTAACCGTACAATAGTCAAGCTGCACAAAACTTGGGTCTGCCCCGTGGTAGGGCACTGTGGCTCTTAGAAAATGCTTTTGTGGCTCAGTGAGATGGCTCACAGGGTTAAGACACATGCTACCAAGTCTGATAACCTGAGTTCAATCCCCAGGACCCTCACGGTCATAAGAGACCACCATTTTCTACATATTGTTCTCTGATCACACAGTCTTTGTAACACACACACACACACACACACACACACACACACACACACACACACTTCATAAAAATGTAATGAAAAAAAGGGGAACCACAAAAGCATTAACTCCCATTTGGGGCCACAAGCCTTCATTTTGCATCTGACTCCTTGCTTTTGGACCAGAGTCCTGCTTGAGTTTGCCTAGACATGTTCAACACTTAAGGAGTGCCTGCCTACCTAACCTGTCTCATCCCCACTTCAGGTTGAAGGCATAGAAATCAGTCATCCTCTGAACCCTTGGATTCCAGAAGCAGACAAACTTCCCAAGACATCCCACACCCTAGATAGGTTGATTATCCACTAGGATGAGGCTGCACCTGAAGCAGCAGGAACCAGGTCATGTCCTCAGGAGTGTCAGCAACAACAACCCTGGCTCACCTTGCAGAAGCAGATTCTTTAATTATGCATACACCCAGCCCTCTTCATTGCTTAGTTCTGCATACTCCTTGCCTCCTGCCACAGCTTGCCCTTCCCGCATTCCTTCCTTCCTTCCTTCCTTCTTTTCTTTTCTCCCTCCCTTCTTTTCCTTCTTTCCTTCCATTCCTCCCTCCCTCCCTTCTTTTCCTTCCTTCCTTCTTTCTTTCCATTCATCCCTCCTTCTTCCTCCCTCCCTCCCTTCTTTTCCTTCTTCCTTCCATTCCTCCCTTCTCCCTTCTTTTCCTTCTTTCCTTCCTTCTATTCCTCCCTCCCTCCCTTTTTTCCTTCTTTTCTTCCTTCTTTCCTTCCATCCCTTTTTCCCTCCCTCCCTTCTTTTCCTTCCTTCCTTCCTTCTTTCCTTCCATTCCTCCCTCCTTCTTCCTCCCTCCCTTCTTTTCCTTCCTTCCTTTCCTTCCTCCCTCCCTTCCTTCCTTAGACATGGTTTCCTGGAACTCACTCTGTAGACCAGGCTGACCCTGCCTCTGCCTCCTGAATGCTGGACCACAGAGCTTGGTCCTTCCTGTATTTCAACCTACAGCTCTCATCAGAATCCCAAGGATGAACTTAGAGTCATGGGACTCCTTTTCCACCCCTCTTCCCAATGCATGAATTCAATCTCCTTTCTCTGGTTTTCACCATCACTGGTCATACTAGGACAGATGTCCAAGCCTGTTGAAGTGCCAGAATGTGGGCTTTTACCCTGAAGCTCTGTTATAGTTTCCACCTTTCCTTCCTTAAAGACAAACTTAAGAGAGCAGAGGCTGGAAAAAGAGGGAACAAGAAAGATAATGGGCAAGTTCCTACATTATGAAATCGAACTCATCCCAACTACTGTCTTAGCGTTTAACAGAAAAGCATCGTGTCTTTCCGCTCGGTGGCATAATAATTTTGCTAAAGGTGCTGCCGAATCTCCTTGTACTAGACATGTGTCAGGGGCTTCTTGGCAGAAATCAGAATGTACTAGACTTCCCACTAGATCATACCACCCAAAAGCGAGAGCTTCTGGGCAACCTGGAAGCATACAGACAAGAACTGCTTCCTTCTTTCCCCTCTTGCTGTCACTGATGGCTGCTCTTCCTGCGTTTTCACAGGGTCCTGACATGGCCCTTTCTCTTTCTTCTTAGCATGCAAATATGACCTTATCATAGAAACAGCTAATAAACACAGGCTCCAGACTCTCAGGAATTTGCTGAACCTCAAAATAACTTAGGCAATGAGTGGATAAAGTATATAATTTCTGTTCAGAGGATTATGGGAAGTGGATTCTGTTCCAGTGTGCCTGGTCTTCCCAATGTGTCATTATAGCTTATTAGTTGTGCTGTGATAGTCTCTTGCTCTCTCATATTTGTTTATTGTTTAGACAAGGCAGCAAAGATGAAATCTGTGAATGGAGAATGTGTCCAATTTTCCACTTCACAGTAGACACCATAGTATCTATTTAATGTGGCAGAGCCCATTCTTTCATTCACTCATATATTTACTTAATGGATATCAGTGCTGGTGAGGTGGCTGAGCAGGTAAAGGCACTTGCTCTACAAGCCTGGCTACCTGAGTTCAATCCCTGGATCCCACATAGAGGTGGAAAGAGATAACCAAGTCCACAGAGCTATCCTCTAACATCCATGTGTGTGCCATGTCACATGAGCCCCACTGAATATGCACACACATACACGACAGTGACAATAAACTCTTTAAAAATGTTTGGCTTTGTTTTATGTGTGGGAGTTTTGTCTCCACATTATCTCAGCATCGCTCCCATGCAGTGCCTGTGGAAGCCAGAAGAGGGCATCAGATCCTCTGGAACTGGAGTTATAGATGCTTGTGAGTCACCAGGTGGATGCTGGGAATTTAGTACTGTCTCTGGAAGAGCAACCAGTGAGTGCACTTAAACCATGAGCCAGCTCCATGGCAGCACCATACATACATACATACATGCATACTTACTTACTTATCATGGGACAGAAGTGGCTCAGTGGTTTAGACTTACTGTTCTTGCAGAGGACTCTACTCTTATTCCCAGTACCCACATCTGGTCCCTCCCAAACACCTGGCACTCCAGTTCTAGGAGAATAGATGCCCTTCTCTGAACTCTGCCTGTGCACGCCCATGTACACAATCCCACACAAAGACACACATGTGAACACATAATTTACATTTTAAAGTTAACTTATTTGTATTTGTATGGTGTTTTGCCTGCATGCATGCCTGTTTACTCCATGCATATGGTGCCTATGGAGGACAAAAGGGAGCATGAGAATCCCTAGGACTAGAGTTACAGATAGCTGTGAGCCACCAGGTGAGTGGAATTATCCCAGGTCCTCTGGAAGATCAGCCAGTATTCTTAACCATTGGGCCATCTCTCCAGCCCCACATAACTAAACTTTTTAAATTTAAAAATATGATATTTAGGTATTCTCTTGCACCTTTGGGGGTCAGACAAGAACAGAACAGCAGCCCTGTGATCCTTTGTGGAGATTAGAGTCAGAAAAACGCAATCAAACACTTGACCCATGATTGGTCCTTCTCACCCTCCATCCATCCCTCTAGCTCCTCCATATCCGCAGCAGGTCACAGGTGGTCACACAAGGCAGGCTCAACAAACTTACTCTGGCACCTCTCCAAAGCCTTCCAGAGGCTGTGCTTCAGCAGCGTAGATCTTGGCATAGTATCTGGCAGTATTTTGAACGTAGCATTCCTGTAGTACGCCAAAGACATTGTAAATCCGGATGGTTAGAAGAATTCAGAATATTGCTCAGCAAGATGATTCATGTTTCTAAGATCAGTCAGATAAATAGATTCCTAGGCCCCATCGTATCTAGGGACCCTTGCCAGGACTCTGTGGATGTTAGGTGAGCATTCTACCACTAAACTGTACCCCAGAAACAGAAACAAAAATTACAGTTTAGTGCCACTTATAAAGGTGCTCTGAGATATGAATTACTGAAGTCATGGTCAAGTAATGGCCTCTCAGGCCTAGTGTCTGGGAACTGTATTTCTAGAATCAGCATGGAAGAAGGTTGTCCCTGACCTGAGGGGACATCATTCTCACAGCCAATGAGCCTCCCCTTAGGCTCACTCACTCACCTGGGCGGCGAGTTTGTAGTTCCTCTGCACAAGTTCATCATTGTTTCTGGTCCCATGGGCAACAGCGTTGTGCACCTTGAGCACGCATGCGTGGCCGGGCTGGAAGACAGGCATGAGGCCCTGCATCACTGTGCTACGGAAAGCTTTGCGGTGCACCCCTTCCCCAAAGTGAAGCTCTTCTGTGGAGATCTGGCCACGCAGGTGGTCCCCGAAGTAGCTGTCATTGAAGACATCCTCTTTGAAGATGAGCTGGCTGAATTCAATCTCTTCACATCCTAAAACACAGTGCAGCTTACAGTGGGGGTCATTTCCAGGCCTAGTCTGTGACTCAACTACCATCCCTTTATAAAGATAAAGATAGCCAGGTGGTGGTGGTGCATGCCTTTAATCCCAGCACTCGGGAGGCAGAGGCAGGCCAGCAGGGAGTGAGGAGAAGAGAGGTCATTGAAGGAGAACGTGGGGAGAACAGGTTGAGGGCAATATACAAGGGAAAGTTGCTTGGAGCAAAGTTGGACAGACCAGAAAGACTTTTGCATATCTGGAACACAAAAGCAGAGACATGCAGGGTAACCAAAAGCAAGTCCAAAAGATGGGTGGAGCCAAGAGGGGAAAGAGCCATTGAAGAGATCCGACAGCATTCTACTCATCTGTCTGTCCGTGCTTCCCCAGGAACTCTGGGGATTTTTCTTTCCTAGCTGTTTCACCTCGAAGTGTACATAAGCAAATATTAAAACATATATACAAATATTAGAATATATGTGCATATCAAATACTAGAATATATGCGAATGTTAGGATATATGTGTATGTGCAAATATATATATATTTGCATATACATATAGATGCCCAATATATTCATATACCCTATGTATGTCAATGTTTAAATGCAAGAACAGTAAAACCATCTGGATGAGTCTGACCTCCCTAAGATGGGAGCACACACACACACTAGGAAAACAAGAGTTGTGGCAGTTTGAACAAGAATGGTCCCCACAGGTTCATATGTTTGACTAACTGGCCCCACTTGCTGGAGCTGTTTGGGAAGGATTAGGAGGTATGGCCTCATTTGCAGTATGCCATGGGGTGGGCTTCAAAAGGTGCAGATCATTCCCAGGATCTTCTCCATTGCTGTTTGTAAGATGTTAGCTGTCAGCTGCCTGCTGCTGTGTCCTCCATCTGCTACCATAGACACTAACCCTCTGGAACCATAATTAAACACTCTTTTAAATAATTCACTTTCATCATGGTGTTTTATCACAACAATAGAAGACTAACTAATGCCTGAGTCAAAAGAATTTTGTCGAAGAAAGGAACTTATAGGAAGTAGAATCATTTTGGATTTTTCATAAAAGAGCAGTAGATTATTTTCTTATTTCATGATGTAGATGGAGCTGATCAAAAATCATCTTAAACTAAAGATGGACAAAATGGATGGCTTCCAATAAAAAATGATGGTTTAGATTTTTTTTTTTTTAATGTTTGGACAGGATTTTACTGTTTAGCTTTGGCTGGCCTGAAACTTCTTGAGTCAACCAGGATGGTGTTAAATGTTCAGGGACCCGCCCACCTGTCTCCTGAGTGTTGGGATTAAAGGCAAGAACTTCCACACCTGACAGGATTGTTTACATTTTTAAAAAATACTTTTCTATCCTTCAGAGCTGTAAAAACTGAAATCTTTCTGAGTATTTACAAGAAGACATAAATCATGGGCAGGTGAAAAATCTCATTTCACAGTTTTATACAGAAATATTTCCCTCCTCTGGAATATGAAAAATGGGGTATTTGCAAGTCACAGACAGCTCTGTGTGGGAAGTGTTCACTGCCCAAGCATGACCTGAATTTTGATTCCCAGCTCCCATGTTAAAAAGCTGAGCATAGTACTGTGTACCTGTAACCCTAGCACTGGGAGGAATGGACCGGTGGAGACAAGACAGCCCCTGGGGCTTGCCCACCAGCCCGACAGAAATGATGAGAATCCCCTTTCAAAGCACTGTGGAAAGCATGGTAGAGCAAGACACCCATTGCCAGCCTCTGGCCTACATGCACAGTAACACACACACACACACACACACACACACACACACACACACACACACACCAGAGCTGAGGTCACAGATACAGCCACCACACCCAGCAGTCTCAGTCTCCTGTCGTATGTGTACTAGACATTAGAACATCTTCATTCTCTCCATTGCATTGTCTTCCAGAGGCCTCAGCTATTTGCTTTGCTTTAAATACCATGCAGCATATCTTCCAGAATTTCATCCAATATAACCATCAATGCATATCTCTCCTGAAATTGCTCAAGGGTGCTATGTGGTGATGCCGGGCTGGCTACAGGGGTGTGTGGACCTGCCTTGATGCTGTGGGCAGTTCTTGCCAGCACCACATCTTGTTAAAAAGTGGTTGTGTGGGGGTAATTCAGATTACGAGAATTGGAAGACTATAGACAAGAGTCCCAGCACTCTCCTAGCGCAATGGGTAGGAGTAGGTGGATGCCAAATCATTTCCCTAGAGGGAAAAATACACGGCACAGCAAGTGCAGACTGCGCCAGGCTGTGGAAACCCAGTGCATGGCCTAGCGGCTGCATGGGTACCAAAGAGCAGCTATTAGACTGCAGAACACCAGGTGCACTCAAAGACAGCACAAAACACATCTTTCACTTTTCATTAGAATGCAATCAAGCAAGGTTATACTCTGCGTAGCTAGTCAAACTGGAAAGCAAATTGAAGAATCAAAATGTAAGCATCAATGGCGAGAAAGCTCATGCAAGCAAGGCTTATGCCTAAAGGAAAAATTCAAGTCCAACACCCCCTACCCCCTTACCACTCCCCACCCTACCCCCCACCCCCGCACAATTTCCCAAAACTGCACAGCTGCAGTTCAGTCTTTCCCACAAATGATACACTTCTGGGTATTTGCAATGTACTGAAATTCTAGCTGGGAGAACTGGCCCTCCAGTCCCAAGGAAACAGATCGTGAATGCACTTCGGCAGCCCTCTCTGGGCAATTCTCTCCTTGGTTGGAAGAGTGCACAGAACAAAGCGTGTTCTTCAAGGAGCTGGTTGTGTTTTGGTGGGGACCCCACTCTCTGACAGGCCAACTCAGGTCACTTACCTCTATATTCCATGCGACTTGAAAGCTGTTTGAGAACTAGAAGGAAGCAAAGAGACAGGAGTCAGGACCAGGACGGGTGTCCCTCTGAGCTGGCAGGGGCCTGGGGCTTTGACGAGCAGCCGAGAAGAAGCCGAGGTTTACCTTCAGCTGTGAGGTTAAACTCAGCAGTGACTTTTCCATAACTGTTCTTGAGGCAGCAGTAATACAGGCCCTGGTCCTTCTGACCAGCTTGGACGATGGCCAAGGAAACACTGGAGTTGTCCCCTTTGCTGGAATAGGAGACATTAACATTCACATGCTTCATCATTCTAAACCTCCAATGCTCTCAAGAAGGGAGGAGTTAATGTCTTCCTGCCCTGGGCTTTCAGCCAATGGGCAGGCTGATAGACCAGATTCACCCAATCAGCTAATGAAACAATGTATTTACACATAGATCACTGCATTGCAGTTTAATGTTCTCTTTCTTTTTTGTTTTTGCTCTGTGCAGCAGTCCTGGTTGTCATGGAACACTCTGTAGACCACACTGGCCTCAAACTTACAGAGATCCTCCTGCCTCTGCTTCCCAAGTACTAGGATTAAAGGCGCGCTCCATCACCACCTGGTTTTGACTTAATATTTTTACTCCATCACACAATATAAACACATACAAATGTTCTAGAGGACTGACATCAGGGAAGCCAGAAGCTGGAATGCTAAAATCTGGGAGCTGCTATTAGCATAGCTCAGAATTCATCTGAATTAGGTTGATCATACCCTGTGTATGCGGGAAACCTTTACTCTAAACCCAAATCTAAACATAGATGCAATAAGAAGCAAATGTAAGCGACTCCTAGCTTTACAGGAGGATTCAGAACTGAGGGGTCCCACTTGGTAGGTGATTCGTTTGGAGATGGTTATTTCACTATGTTGGTCTCAAATTCAAGGCCCCAAGCCATCCTTTTGCCTCAGTATCCCTTCAAACATGTACACTTCAGTGACTACGTCTATCCCTCCATCCACCTTCCCAATATTAATGACTAATTACTATAAATACAAAAACTGATGGTATGGTGGGAAAGAAGATGATGACAATGATCTCGGTGAGAGCTAAGTATCAGGTAAATAAAAAATCATCTTCCTGTCATTCTCAGAACAGCTTAAGAGGTCTAGAATCACTGCTGCCAGGCCACAGATGGTGAGGGCACTGAGACACTGAAGAATTTAAGCTGGCTCCCCAAGTAACTTCTGATTGCTGCCCTTAAATCAGAGCTGTGGTTTTCACTCAAAAACTGACAACAATGTACTTTGCTGCAAAGCTACATGAAAACGCCATTGCAATTGTGTCCTCACATGAGGATTACATACAGTGTGCGCTTCCATTGGAGTACATCTCATAGTCTGATAACCAGCATCCACTGACCTAGGTTTGTCTCAGTGTTCTCTCAACACAAGGCCTTTTTCATAGACCTCAACTCTCTGATTTATTCCTGGAGGAATAGACCAGTAGTTGAAAACAAGTCCACTAAATCATATCACTGTCTCCTCTATTTGGGACTCTGAACATATCCTGACAAAGGTTAAAACTAGACACCAACAGGTCCATATCTAAGGGGAGCATTTCCTGGCAGAGTAAATATAGAGAAGTCCCACAGAGTGGTAGGCACTCCCTCTCTAGGGATATATAGACCAGCACAGCAACAGTCATGGAAAAGCTGGGGATAAACTCGAGGAAATCATCCCATCAGCATCACCCCTGAAGCTCAAGGATGCTCTGATTCTTGGTCCAAATTCAGGAAGACTGATCTGTCTTGCTTCCTTCTCTCATTGTCCTAATTACTTCTGGAGGCGCGCAGGGGGGGGGGGGGAGGACTGAGAAGTCAGAAGGGCCTGGATTCCAATCCTATGGTAGATCTTGGACACATTACTTAGCCATTTCCTCAGCTTCAAGTGTGTGAACCCAGAAAGTTAAGTAAGGTTGCTTGTTGACTGGAACATGGGGCGCAGCAGACACCAGGCATGTGAGTCTCTAACAAAAGACCTCACCTTGGTTGTGATCCATAAGGGTGGGGTTTGGTAGTGTCAATGGGCTTTCTCAATGAAGGAAAACCACTTCTTAATGTCCCAATGAGGGTCATTCCATGTTTAGTCATGGGGATTCAATGACGGGCAAGAAAAACAATCATTAACCCAGAGGAGATTGTAACTCAACAGGTTCACCACAAGGTTACTTTGCTTATAGGAGATTGTCCCTATGTTTGCCTTTGCTGTTTATTATTTAAAATGGAACACATCCAGATCTATGCAGTGGTATAGCCTGTACTGTTAACTATGAAGGAGGATGAAACAGAAGGACCACAAGCTCAGAACCAGCCTGGGCAGCTAATAAGATCCCATCACATAAAACAAAAATAATAAGATGATTCACACAGACAGTTTTGAGTCACATATGGACTCGAAGGTTTCTGTGCAGAAGAAAAGGTAACTCCCAAGTTCACTGCCTGTAAAACGTAAGCTGGCTTTATATTTACTTGCAAATATATGTTATATATCCCTTTGCCTCATTGGCTACTTCCATCTTTATCCTTTGAATGCCCATTTGAGCAGTTTTACCACCTCATTTCTTCCCTTCTCATTTGGCGACTTTAAGCCCTTTGCCCCATGTTCAGGCCACCTTTGAGAGAGCTCTGCTCTTTGAAATCTATAACTTGGCAAGTGCTACAGTCTGGGTGTTGAATGTCCCCCTACAAAAGTGGGTCCTTTAGAAGGTAAGGCGTGTAAGTTGTAGAAGTTGGGGTTGTGGCACTCGGACGTGTGCTCCTAGCTGTGACATCAGCATTTCACTCTAACACTGGCCCCTCTAACTGGCATCTGGAACCCCATCACAGATGCAGAGTGATAGGTCTGCAAAGCCTTGGATGGAACCTCTAAGATGGAGAGAAAAATAAGCCCCCCTATGAGTTGGTTATCTCGGGTTATTTCACTAAAATGATGGAGAGCCAGCTGACACAACAAGGCCCTGAGCTACTTCAAATAGAGATGTATAAAATTAAAGTACTCAACTGGAAGTAAGGGTGAGAGGAATTAACAAGCATTTGAAAACCCATCAGAAATCACGCAAATGATCTGTCTGTGAACAAAGGAATTGTGACTTAGAAACTTGCTCAAGTAGCAATAACAATGCAAATTGGTCTAACTAAGCCATTTCTAAGAAGAAACACAGCAGCCGTTACAAAGACTTTAAAGGCCTTGAGTGCTTACTAGTGACATGTGCTCCCTAGAGGGAGGCTGGGGTTTTGGAAATATTCCTTAGATGCAAAAAGACCTGGAAAGTGCACTAACACTAAACTGAGCCTAGAACAAGAAAAGTTAATTAAAAATTGCTGGAAGTACTGGTTAATTGTTCTTGACTGACAGCTTCAGAAAAGAATTAAAATCAATAATGAGTACTTTAAAAACAGAACTCTAGGGAGTTGCCATGATTGAAGAATCAAAGCTATTTAAAAGAATTTAAAAATTCTTCACTGTTGTAATTGTTTTTAAGCCAAGTACAAGACAGGCAGGGTAATGGGAACATTCGAGAAATAATCTCCAGACAAATATTTGACTAGATATAGGGGTTCATATTTCCCAACTTTTCAGCCCATTTCTATTGAGATTAAAGAAATAGAAATCTACCCCAGGGCTCAAGAGCTGACTTGAGGCTCTCTAGGCAGAAGGAAGTTTCTGGGAGCTGCTAAATCATGCTGATCTCATTGATTGTTTGGAGGACTGACCAGATGAACCAGGTTTTTTCGAACAAGTATTCATTCATTACCAGGCTGATTTAGGCAACTGAGTGGGTTGACTGACATGAGGTGTTCTGGCGATGATCCTTTGACTCCTGTGACATCCTAAGGACCCAGGTGTAATAGGCTCTGTCCAACTTAAGGGAGGCTGTCTTCCTCAACAGCTTCACTTTCTGTGACCTTGTATCCCCACACCCCCATTTTCTCCTTAGCTTTGTTTGACCTTTGTTAGATTAATGGCAGGGGTTTGTTGAATCAGAGAATACCCATAAGTAAGAGTTCCAGAGAGTTTTGTAACCCTAGGCCTGGAGAGCTTCAAGCTTGAATATTATTCCCTATGTATCCTGACTAAAAACTGTAACCCTCGGAATACACAACTCAAGGTAGCAGAGCTGAAGCAAGAACCAACCACCATGCTCCCTGTCTGGATAGCTGGGCGACACTCTGCCTCTTGGATACCATGTTAGCCTTTCTCCACTGTGGCAGAAATATGGGACATAGACTATTTAAAATGAGGGAAGACTTCATTTTGGTTCAAGGTTTCAGTCCAGGGCCAGCTGGCTCTATGTTTCTGGGCTTATGTCGTGGAAGAAGGGCATGGAGATAAAGTGCTCACTTTGAGGCACCCAGGAAACAAGCAGACAAGAGCCACAGACAAGACACACCTCCAAAGGCACACCCCAGATAACCTGCTTCAGCAAGGCCCCACATCGAGTTTCCACCACCTCCCAGAATGCCACCAAGTTACGAAGCCGTTAGCAGACTGACCTCGTGTTCCAATTGGGTCCCCAAAGCTCATCATCTGTCAATCAAGCCCTTAGCTCATAAGCCCTTTTGGGGGGAGGAGGACTTCATATCCAAACCATTGCTGATGTTAGATATGGAATCTCTGCGACAACTTGCCTCTCATTTCCACTTACTATTTTCTCTGATAGCCACACTAAGAAACAGACAGTTAAGTGTGAAAAGTCGGGAAGGACAAGTCTCTCACCTTCTCTCAACCTGGGCTATTGACTTCGAATCTTTTGTCCACCAGATGGTAGAATCTTCATGAATCTCTGCAAACTGGCAGCTCAGCTTTACATTCCCAGAGCGGTCGGGTGCCATCTCAGCCTGGATCTTCTTCAACAACACTGGAGCTAGAAACACATTCACAGGTTAGTGTAGGCAGAAGGCTTTCCCATTTCATCTAGGTTACTTATCTGCAGCATCCCTGAGAGTCAGGGAAAAGGTCCCTCACTTAGGAATGAAGCAATTCAATGCCTGAGAGGAGATGTAGCAGGCTCAAATGTAACAGTGGGAAAACAAATGAACCATTCTAATACAAAACACTTGCTCTTTGTTACTTAAATTCCAAAGGTACATGATGCTCGTGGCAAAATAGAACTTGAGCTATTTTGGGGTTTTTAATTTAGGTTGATTTAACTTTATGTGCATGAGTGTTTTGCCTGCACGTATGTAAATGCACCATGTGTGTGCCTGGTGTCTGTAGGGGTCCCAAGAGGACATCAGATTCCCTAGAAGTGAGGTTATGGGTGGTTGTGACACTCATGTGGATACTGGGAATCAAACCTGGGTCCTCTACAAATGCAGCAAGTGCTCTCCATCCCCAAATGTTTTTTTTTTTCTTTCAAAGAAGAAAGGTCTAGCAGATTATAGAAGTCTAGTCCATAGAATTTGGCCCAAATAAGACACTGTTAAATAATTACCTGATCAAAATCAGAGCTAGTGATTCGGGAGTGGAATGAAATCTGCTGTATTATCAAGGTAAGTGAGCTTAACTCCCCCAAATGTAAAAGACAACTCAATAGTAAATTATTGAATAAAATCCATTTGCATGCACTTGCCTGTGTGCACATACACACACACACACACACAGTGCAGTTGTCTTTGTGAAGTTGGTCTGGTGGACTGAACATATATGTCTGGCATCCACCTCACTGGCAAAAGTGATGTCTATCTGAATAGAGCAGAAATACTAAGAAGATGACTCCTACAGGTTGGGCTGAGATTTGAGTTTGCCTCTGAGTTTAAACAGTGTTAGATCTTGTGAGCAAATGTGTAATTTGGCTGCATGGCCACTGGGCGGCGGTATAGGCATTAGAACAACAGTAGGCCGATGGGACCCAGACAAGAGAACAAACAGTTCATCAGACTGTTATTAAGGCAAATGGATCAATTTACTACAGTCCAGGTGGCAGAGCTCCACAGCGTTGGTAATACAAAAGAGCACATCATTACAGAATGGTGTCTAGTCCAGGGGCCGGCAGAAGTACCAATTCAAGGCCTCACTCACTTGGCTGCCTCCAATTTAGCTACAGTGAATGTGTTGCATTGAGTTTCCAATTTTTCCTTGACCCCACAGATAATAAGCCATCAGAACGAAATTTAAAATCGGACCCTGGCCCTGGGAAGTGGCAGTGGGCTGGTTGAGTCACGGATCGCTCAACCAGAACCTTACTGATGTTGCTGCCAACATTATGGGAGCTGTTGACATCATGGGATGGAGAGGAGGCCATAACACAGGTGTGGAACTGAACAATGGACTCTGGGAAACACAAAATCAGCCGAGATCCTGTTCATGTGACAGACAAATAGAAATGCAGCCTATGAATAAAGGTGCTAGATTTATCTTGTGACCTGCCTGGTTCAATCCCACCTGGCAGAAGGTGAGAACTTATTTTTGTGAGCTGTCTTTAAACACACACACACACACACACACACACACACACACTCACTCACTCATATACTCACTCACATATACACATATTCACACACTCACACAGACTCACACACACTCACACATTCACACACATATTCTCACACTCCCACACACACATCCTTACATGCTCACACACTCTCACACACACTCACACACTCTCACTCACACTCACATACACACACACAGACACAGACACATCCTTAAATGTAATTTTTATATGTAACAGAGTCTCCTGTCACATGGGGAGTTTCCACTGTGCGAAGCTTTGGATGCTAAAACAAGGCCGGCCAGCATCCATTTTATCCCTCCCAGGCTCTCTGAGCACATTCTCCTGACTCCTATCCCACCACAGGAGGAGGAAGTTAAATCTGGGCTGCTCTAAAGGAGAGCACCAGGCTGCTGGGCCCACACAGTCAAGGCAGCAGCCTGTATCATGTGGCCCACCTGGGCTAGAGATGAGGACCGGGGTCTTATAACGCCCCCTTACCCCCACCCCAGCATCAGAACTGAAGATGTCTAAGTTGTATTTTCCTAGTGGAGGCATCAAACAAAGACAAACCAAAAACAGAGAAAGCTGGAGAGCAAAACCAAGACCTGTGGAGAGTGCTCACTGCTGAAGTAGATACTTAAAGACGTCGATCACTAACAGAAGCTCATGTATGGCAATTAGAACTAATTAGTTCAAAAGGAAAAGGCAGGCCTTGTCAAGGGCAGAGCTTATGGAAGCCACCATCCCATAATAGGAAATCATTTTCCAGGTCACTGACCCTCATCTGTGTACTGACTCACGGACTAGAGCACACAGCAGGTGCTTACTGAGGGAACACACACTAATTTTCACAAATGGTGGGGGTCAACACATAAGAACAACATGTCCTTAGCTAACGGAATAGTCAGGTGCTTGGCGCCAAATCAGGGAGGGGTCTGGGGTTGGCTTGCAGGTAGGACAGGAGCCTAAGACAGTGAGTGCCAGAGTTTCACATATCTGTCTCCTTCCCTGAAAAGGAAATTGCCAGCCAACAGGGGAGAGGCTGGCCTACTGCTGGCCCTTGTCACCTGAGAAAGGACCACCAGGTAAAGCCCTGCCCAGATGTGAGCAAATCTTCCCAAAACTTCCTCTGTATTGAGGATCCCAGAGGATGTCAGGTGAGTGCCCTTGCTTCCTCAGACCCGGGCTCCATACCCCAGTAAAGACCACATTCTTTGGAAGGGAGGGGGACCTAAGAACTACTTTTCCTTTTACCACTAGCTTGGCATCAACCTTGTGGTGTTAGTGGTCTGGTGTCTGAACTAAGTTCTTCAACAGCGTTGCAAGTCTGGCATTTCTTTCCTAGTGCTTTCCATCTTTATGTGGGATGAGCCCTGTTGTTAGCACCCCCCCCCCCCAATCTACTGGTGAAGGAAAGGAGGCTCCAAGGATAAGGCATCCATTAGGGCCTCTCTGTTCCTGACAGAAACCAGACTCCAAGCCAAGCACTCCAACAGACCCTTAGCCTCTGTCCCTCACACAGCAGCACAAAGACTGTGAAACTTATTTCCAGAAATAAGGCAAACTCACAAGTCTGGGAAACTTCTGGAACCTTCAAGAATCTCAGGGTCCCGTTCCAAGGGACCCTGGTGCTGACCACAAGTTGGTGCAGGGACCTGTTGGGTGCTTATCTAAGCCGAGCTGAGCTCTGGGACATCCTCATGCCTATGAGTAACTCCCCATCTGTTCTCCTGTAATTCCAGTCAACACATGGGATCACTGACTTGTGTCCCTAGGAAAAGTCAAACAACAACAAACACCTGGTGTTTAACGTTGGATCTGCCTCTCAATGGCCTTCACCGTGGTCTTGCTCCCTGGAAATAGTCCTGCATGCTGCATTGAGCCACTTTGGCTTGGAAAAGCCTTTGGTTGTAGCCAACAAAGGGTCTCTAGGTGCATGCCTTTAATCCCAGCACTTGGAGGCAGAGGTGGGTGGATCTTCGTGAGTCTGAGGCCAGCCTGGTCTACAGAGTGAGTTCCAGAACAGGCTCCAAAGCTACAGAAAAACCCTGTCTCAAAAAAACAAAACAAAACAAAAACAAAAAATCAAACAAACAAAAAACAAAACACCAACAAGAAACCCAACAACAACAAAAATGTATGGACAACAGGCTAGGATTGTAGCAGTTCAGTCAATAGAGTTCATGCCTGGCATGCACTACCTCCTGGGTTCCATTCTGAGCACCATATAAGTGGGCTGTGATGGTGCATCCTAGGATACATCAGATCCTGTTTCTAAATAATGAAATGTATGCACTAAGAACTTGACTGGGTGGGTCCATACTCTGGCAGATGACAATTTGTCCCTAACCCTTTCTGTTTGGGCTTAAGTGCTAGGTGTAGAAAACCTCAGCCCAGATCAGGCACTCAGCTTAAGAATGTAGAAAACTTTCCTTCTGCTCCAGCACCCAGCATCCCAGCAGCTCCCCATGGCATCTTCTCTTCAGACTTCTGCTGTCTGGCAGCATGGGAAGGGACGACTCCAAAATGTAGCTTCTTTGGGGCTGTGGGTTGGGCATGGCTGGGCATGAATGGAAGGAATGATGCCAAAGTCTTTGAGGTTTAAAGGGACTGAAAGCTGGGTAGATTCAGGCTCACTGTCACTGGAGACAGTAAGTTGGGAAGAATTTTTATGCTTAAATTTGGTAAGAAAAACAAGGTTCCCTTAAGTTTTGCTTAATAGGGGTCACGGTGCAAATGAAAATTAAAAAGAGAGTCTCAAATCATACTGAAATATTTCTTTATGTTCCCTGATCAGTGTGTGGTCCTTTTAGTCTTACAGATTGGCTATACCAGTGCCTCTGCTCAGCTTTCAAATGAGATTTTAAAAGGAGATAATTAAACCACAAAGCATCTTTGCCACACCCCTCTGTCAAACACACCAGCAGGCAGCCTTGATGAGGGGTTCAGGGATGTGCATCTCCTGCCAAGATACCTGGGAACTGGGTACAAGTGCAGATGTTTGGGAACCCCCCCTCAACCCCCTGCAACATCAGAAACTGTGGAGATGCTCAGAACCCTGCATTTGAACAAGCTTACCAGTGAACTGATGGCTGCTCAAGTTTGAGACGCTTGGCCACAGTCATGGCTTCCACACCCACCAGAAACTAACCTGAACTGACAAGGACTCAGAGGGACACAGGAACCTCCTGCCTAGCCCCTTCCTTCAAAAATGCTAAAAGCAAGAAGGTCTCACCTTTCCCTTCTGCTTTGCAAGGGGCCTTTTTGGAGTCCTTTTTCTGGTCAGTGCGGGACAAGGACTTTTCATACTTGGGTGTTTTCTTCATAATGGAGTTCTTTCTCATGTTTTCTTTCTCCTCCAGTCTGAGTCTCAGGGCTGCTACCCTGGATAGAATTTTCTTTTTTACCCCTGCTGCTAAATGTCCACTCCCAGAGGCTGCTTGGTTTTTCTTGTCCTCCTCTGACCCAGTCATTGCTGATTGGGCCCCAGGTGCCTTGCTGGGCTGGGCCTCCACGTGCTTCTGGGGTTCCTCTCTGGACTTTTCCCTGCTATCCATTGTGGAGCCCTTTTGACACTGGTCCTTAAGTAATATGCCTTCAGGGGCTTTCTCTGAGTCACATTCTCCTGAAATGAAAGCCAAGGTCATTGTTGGGGAGTGGGGTGAGTTTAGGGGTTTGGTTTCCCCAATTTGAAGCTCCTCCGATTTCAGTTCCTCAATGTCTTGGCTTATTGACAAGCATGTGACATTTCCTTTGGGACATGAAGTACAAGGCATCTGTGTGAGATCACTCAAAGAGGGCACGTGTTTCCCACACTCGCTCTCCATGGTTCCTTTTTCCTTCCACGGAGGAGGTACATCTTGATGGTTTCTGGGCTCAGATCCACAGTGGCCTGTGGAGTCAATGGTATCAACCTCAACAGATGCAAGAGTCATTCCTATGAGACAATTAGAAAGAGGTGACATGGAGGAAATTAATTCAGCTATGTTCCCTCTCATTTGCCCAGCCTCTCCTAGGCTTCTGTTGTTACCATCTTGTATTTGGTTCAGGTTGTGTACACTTGCAATTCTTTGTCTCTCTTCACCAGGACATTGGGCTTGGCAAATAGCAGCCTGGGCCTCTGCTTTTGCTTTCTTGGCCTGGCTTTGTTTGGCATCTGCTTGCTCTTTGTCTACATGATTTTGGTTGATTGCGCTTCCGTTTGGAATGATTTCCCCACTGTTCTGGGGGTGTGGAAGCTGCAGGGTAGCGGGCTGGATGTCTGCCCTCTGACATGTGCTTCTATCGGCAGATTCATTCCCTTCTGTGTTGGAGTTTGAGAGCTCTGGCTTCTCAGACCAGACACACTGCATCTCACTTCTGTCATGGATGGGATCCACAGAGGACTCCAGGACCCTAGGGAAGCTCATAAACTGGTTAACAAAGGTAGGATCACACAGCTTCCTCTCACTTCCTTCCTGTTCTTTGTTTGTGGTTTCAATGTTTTCCATCTCTCCACTTTTGGAAGCCTCTAGTGAAGAGACTGGGACATCAAACCCCTCTTCCTCAACAGGGTCTACAGATGACTCCAGGAGTGTGGGCTGGCCCCGACACTGGGAAGATGGACTGCTGCAATACTTGTGTCTGGATGCTTCATCACCTGCACAGGTGTCTCTGTTGGCAACAAGGGCTGTGATAATGTCAGCTTGAGGGCTGGGAAGCCATGACACTACTCCCAAGGCACCTGGTTCAGGCCTGGTAGCACCTGCTCTTAGAATGTCAGGCAGAGCACAGCCCCTGCCAGGGTCTGTGAAACCAGCTGCTGCCTTCTTGTACCCAGAATGCATCTCTTGTTCTGGTGGCCATATTTCATAAACAGGTGCCTCTAGTGTTATGATCTTCACCTTGCTGCCCACAGCCCAACTTCCTAGTCCAATGTCTTCTTTTTCTTGAAGGAGTATGTCAGGGAGAGATGGAATACTGCTTAGCGACTGACTATCACCTTCCATGGTCTTCTCAGCCACCACTGAGACACTGGTCCTTGGATCCAAGCTACACCCAGTTTCTTCCCTGGAAGCGGCTGGGGAGTGCTCCAAGGGTTCCGAATTGGCCTTCTGTTGCATGGCACATATTGGGGGCAGAAGTTCTTGGAAATCACTTACAGAAAGAGAATGCTGGTGGGATGCACACTGTTGTGTTTCACTTCCCTTTTCCTGGAAGTCCTCTTCAAGGCCTCCATCGTGAGCTATCTCCACTATCTGGGTCTTATACCCAAGCTGGTTATCAGTCTGAAAGGAAGCACTCCACGGATCCTGCCCCTCAGGGAGTGAGGAGGGGTCATGAGCTCCTGGAATACTGGGTGCTGGGATAAACATCCCTCTAGTAGAGCTGCTTAAAGAATGGCCTGGCTGTAAGTCAAAAAGAGATTGGAAATTATTTTCCTTCTGAGCCTCACATGAGGCCTGGTCAGCACCATCAACAAGGCTGGTGTCCCCAAGAACTGAAACAGTGTGGCGTTTGATTGCACGGACACTGGCGTCATCAGCTAATGTGTCCTCGGTCTCCTTGGTCACCTGATAGCAATCAACGTTAGCAGTTGATGGTGTTGACTGTTCTTTTGGGCATCCCCTGACTGAACTGTAACTGACAAGTGTGTCTATGGCAACTGGAACGCCCAGATGGGCGCTTTCATGGCCTCCTTCATTAATGTTCACAATGGAGTTATTCTCAGAACAAAGGGGCTGTGTCTCCCTGGGCCCTCCTAAGTTGTAGGGTCCTGTGGAAGAGAAGATGAAGGGGGACTTCCCCACATCAGCTGGAGTTTCCCCCACAGCACCTCCGCTGGCCTCCTGTGATATGTTCCAGCTGAAGGTACTATTAGGAACAGGGGACTCGGCTGGCTCTCCATCCTCACTGCACTCATATGTAGACTGTGCAGGCTGAGGACCTTGCATTTGAAGCATAGCCAGTGTCTTGTCAGGAGAACATAAATCATATACTTTGCTTTGACCTTCTGTCAGTTCCAAGTCCATGGGGCAAACTTCATGAGGCAAATATTTATCAACTGATGCTCTAACGGGAAGATCCATGGTATCATAACATGTTTCTTGGTCACCAGCTTCAAAACACCCCATCACACACCCACTGCCCACATTTTCCAGGGGGAGGGAGGGAACAGTGGGCTGAGAGCCAGCAGCAGAGAAAGCCACTGGCTCCCTGCAGTGGACACTGTCACTGGGAGAGAGGTGTGCAGAGGATAGAACCTGGGACACTTCATCATTGTCTTCTAGGGCACTCAGTTCATGTGCTGGCTCTGCCCAGAGGTTGCCAGGCATGTTGCCTTCTCTGTTTTGTCTGGCTTTCTGACAGAGCCCTTGAGGACAGCTTTCCAGGTCCAGGTGTTGGGCCAGTGATGCATTTTCCTTGTTGATATCACTCAAGTTGAAGACAAAATTTGTTGTGGTCCCAGTGAATGAAGACGCCTCCCCAGCAGGCAGGGAGAAAGCTGGCATCTTGTCGAGATAATTTCTCTCCCCAGTGGTTTCCTCAATTTGCATCTAGAAGAATGAAAAGTAGTATTAATAGACTTGTTCCTGAGAAAGCCACACAGGATTTATCTGCAGTCCCAGGGGTGCTAATTCCAGACAACTATAATACGAGACCAGGACCATAGCAAAAATGACTGAAATCTAAACACTGATCCCCAAATGCACCCTGGCTATTAGAGACTTCACAGGAAACTGTAAATTTAAATCACTCTGTATCCTAGGGGACTTGTGCCCAGTCTCACCATTATGAGCAAAAAGCCTCCTGGCAATCATCATGTGTTTAGTGATTTTTTTTCTGCTTTCTCTGAGGAAAAAAGATGGAAATAAATTGAATGGTAAACTAGTTTTGAACAAACCAGTCACAGTAAGACCTGTGGGCATCTCCCTAGAACTATGACTTTCATGTCATCATTACAAATGAAGTTGACAATGGACAACAGTTTACTGATTAATACTGTTATTAAAAGGCAGAAAGAGATAGTCAGACATGGTGGGGATGCATGCCTGTTATGCTAATACTCATGGGGCCGAGGCCGAAGGCTCACTTGATCTCAGAAGTTCAAGACAAACCTGGGCAACATAGTGAGATTCCCATTTCAAAAACACGTGCACACATGAGAAGCTGTCGAGAAAAACATGTTTTCCTTCTAAATCTCTTCCCTTCCCCCAGAACTTCAGAAAGCAGAGCTGGAAAAGAGCAGGGCTAGGCCTGTCCTTCAAGCCCGCCTCCAGTGGAGTAAGGGAAATGCAACTGGCCACCAGCACTGTCAATCATTTCTGGCTCAGAAGAGATAAAAAATTCTGGACTTTCAATGAGGCTCTGGGGAAAGAAGCCACATCTCAAGAAGTAGGGGATGACTATTTATGTTTTTTAGAGAAAGGGAAGGGAAAGAAAGAATTAGGGGGAAGGAGAAATCCTATAGTCTGAAAACTGAGCACAACTTAGCACTGTTGGAATACTAGACATTATTTAAGGAGAAAGAAAACTCTTTGACCATGTTCTCATCTCTTGAAACTTCTAGCCCTTTGTCTGTTTCAAAGCAAAACAAAATCAGCCAAGAGGAACAGTAGTAATTCTTGGTAAGCACTCCATCTTTGCCCCCAGGACTCTTGTAGAGCCCTACTCCAAGGCACAGGGGACAGAGAGCTGGTTAGAGTGCAGGCACTCTCCCAGTGAAGGGACCAGCCCCCTGCTTTATTAGCCATGACAGGTTGCAGAAAAGACGTATAGTCCTCTGGCTCAGCACATGTCTGACCTTGCCGGGACTGCCCTAGTCACTAGGAGGTCAGATACCCTCCTTGTGGCAAGGAACCAATCAAAATTAGCTGGTGGGATGCTGGATGTGCTTTACAGCTTTATGGTAAAAGTGGCCTAACAGTGACATGCAGAGCATAGCAACCACCCTTGGAGGGCCTATAGGCCATAACAACCAGTTAACCAATCAACACAGAACAGGTTGTCCGAGCCTAAAAGTGTATCAATCCTGAGACTGTTCCGTACCCCTAGACACTCCCCTTATGCTGCCCATAAGTTCCCCTGCCTGGTCCCCTGGGTCCTTGTCCTGCTATCCACTGTAAGGTATGGAAGAAGGGCCCGAGTTAATGCAGTTAGCTCATTAAACAACAATAGAAGACTCTTTGCTTTTGCATCAGAATGGGTCTCTTGGTGATTTTGGGGTTCAGAATTTGAGCACAACACCAGCCTGTAAGAAGATGGACCTGAAAGGCTTACTCCCACAGGAAGTTCCAGCCCAGAGACTTATCTCCACAAATTTCATAGGAGCCTGGGTCTCCTATCTCATGATTAATTCCTGTACCTACCGCCAGCGGGAAGAGGAACAAGGCTCCCCCCCCCACACACACACCTCTTTCACATGCTCTCAGTGTGCTAGATAGATGCCTGTCAGTCATTTGTCTCTAGTTTATTTCTAAATTTCTCTATGCCCATTGAACTTGGATTTCACTGGCAAACTAACTTAGAAGAGATTTAATATGAACTCCATAAGGACTAAGACTATTTACTGATCCAACCTATCATTGAGCACCTCCAATGTAGTAAGAAGTGTTCCAGGCAAGGGAGATGTGACAGGCAAGGGCTTGTCTTTAGAGAGTGCCCATTCTATGTGTGATCAAGACACAACTAGTAATAAGCACACAATAGGTATTTGGGAACTATTTTTTTTAAAGAAAGAATAAGTGGATGAAATATGTTCCAAAGGGGGCTACTGTGACTCAAGGTCGCCCGTGAAACCTCTAACTTTGCAAGAGTTTTGCTTTGCACTTAGGCACAGCCTTATTGTAAAGGAGACTTCTGCCAGGTGTGGTGGTAAACACCAGTAATCCCAGAATTTGGCACAGGGAGTCAGGAAGATCAGTACTTCAAGGCCATCCTCTGCTGTACGAAGAGTTTGAGGCCAGCCTGGCCACATGCCTGTCTATATCAGACAGGTTAGGCCAGGGGGCTCTAACCATGAACGTCGTTCATCCAAATATTGGTGTTTCTAAAAAGAAAGCTATCGGCCACTTGTGCTGCTACATACTGGTAGAATATTCTCAAGGATATATTTACTTTTTCGAAATCCCTTTTTAAAAGTCATCATTTCAGGATAGAATATTGAAAACAGTAAAAATAGTTTAGAGGAAGTGAGGATCGAGGCTTTTATGAAGTGGGGAAACACTTCATGAAATGAAATACAGTACTTGTGACACAGCCATGAGCAATCTTTGTCCCCCAACCCCTCTGGGATGGTTTCCTCCCTGGGCCTGAGTACCTGCTCTTCGGTTCAGATTTTTATATAGAGCTATGGCTCAACTATCAGGTTATTAAGCACAGAAATTTGGCAGCTTCTGGCCAGAAAGGAGAACTGTAGAGACCTTGCCGTGAAAATCCCACACCCTCCTCTCGGGCCTCTGTTCTGCCGGAACTCCCATGACCCATGTCCCTTCCCACACATACCTTCCTTAACTCATGTCCCTTCTCATTCATGTCTGCCCGTTCATCTTCCCCTTGTGTCCTCCAAGTCCCCCACCCATATCCCCACCGATGTGCCACAACTACATTCCTCCCATGTCTCCTCCCACCCCACCCATGTCCCACCCACAACAGTGCTTTACTGTAAGGGCAGACTCATTAGCACCAATGGACATTCTAGAAGTAGCTGCCGTGTGAAGAATTCATTGCCCAGCATCCTGCAATTTCTTCCAAAGGGCTCTGTTTAGGTCGTTTATCGTTACCCTTGCCTGGATGACTACTACATCCACAGAGCAACAGGTTTATTCTATAAAGGAACTAACATCTGGAGCTGACCTTGTGGACCAGGCCTGCAGTCCAAGCTATGAAGGAGCCTGAGACAGAAAGATCACATGTTCAACACCAGCATAGGTTACATAGTGAGGTTGAGGCCTGGGCAACTTCATTCTGCTCAAAACAAAAAGTAAAAGAAGGGCCTGGGATACAGGGGGGTGAGGCTAGGGGCCCAGGGTTACATAGACAAGTCGAGGCCTGAGAAGATGGAACAAGGATGTCCAGCTTCAAGGGACTCTGATTCCCAGCTGTGTTACAGCACTCCTTGGTGTTTATGGTAGGTGGCACCATATGCTCATTGCTTTCCCAGCTTGCTTTAAAATAAAACCCCACCAGGGATGGAGACAGTTTAGTGGTTTAGATCATGTCCAGAGGATCCAAGTTCAGTTCCCAACACTCATGTCTGGTGGTTCACACCAACTGTAACTCCAGCTCTGGGTATGTGATACCCTTTTCTGGCCTCTACAGGTTCTCTCTCTCTCTCTCTCTCTCTCTCTCTCTCTCTCACACACACACACACACACACACAAAATAAATAAATAAATAAATAAATAAATAAATAAATAGATAGATAAATAAAACAAATCTTTGTTGGGGGGAGATGGGAATGGGTTAAGAGTGCATGCTGCTCCTGGAGGGAATGTAGGTTTAGTCTCCAGTAGTCATAATCAGGTCACTCACAGCCACCTGTAACTCTAGTTCTAGGGGATCCAACACCTTCTTCTGGCCCACGTGTAATGACATATGGCAAGTCTTTGTGCACATTCTTCATTTGACAAGCATGCAGTGACTACCTACTGAACCCGGATGTTCTAAGTACCTGGAGAAACTTAGAGAACACAAAACATGGTCAGACTTCAGAAATTAACTTCAAGCAGCAAACTGTATGAAGGCTGCACCTCTGATGTGAAATCCTATAAGGTGCACCATTCTCCTCTCATGGATGATGGTCCTAATTGACAGAGCAATAGGCATCCTGAGCCATGCCTGGAAGTACAGACCTGTGATCCCTGCTATGAAGGAGGTGGAAACCTCGAGATTCTTCTGAGGGTGGGATCTGAACAGGCCACTCCCTATTTCTTTTAAGGCATAGAGTTATCATTAGAGGGCAGCTCTCAGAGAGGAAAACCACACCTTCCTGGTAGGTCAGGCATTTCTTCATTGTAATTAGGAAAGAAATCCAGCAAATGAAGATCTGCCACTTGCTGCATCCATTCTTGAGTGGATGGGGTATTGGAAACACTGGGGTAGAGAGAGAGAGTTGTTATGTACTAAAGTTGTTCTCATTTGTGTGAAAATAAAGAGAGTTTATGGTTAGCTGGGTGGCATGTGCCTTTAATTCCAGCACTTGGGAGGCAGAAGCAGGTGGATGTCTGTGAGTTCAAGACGAGCCTAGCCTACATAGTGAGTTCCAGAACAGCCAGGGCTACACAGAGCAACCCTGTCTGGAAACAAAACAAAACAAAAACAAAGTGTTTATGGCTGTAGTGTTATGTAGACAGCATATCTGGCAGCCTGAATTAGCCCTAGCTTAATCCACTACGGTACACAGGACCCCAGGTAACCACGTGAGCCTCTTCACTGTCTCTTCCTCTAAGGCTAGCCACATGAGCGAGCATCAGCACCATCCTGTCAGGTACCTGGCATGTTGCCCAATACCCAGAAGACACTGACATTAGCTTCCTTTTTCTGGGGGATGGGGGGG